GTTGTTATTGAGTATTTTGCAAAATCATTCAAAACACCCCTACAGAGTGCACGCTTGCATTACGTGAAGTCTAGACTAGTGCGTGTTATTTCATTGCATGATTCAGTCTATTAAAATACATTTAGAATTATCACAAATTCAAGATATGGGGACAGAACATTTATATATTTCAAAGAGTGCTGTTTTTTTCTCCAAAAATTAGCTACCATGATTACAAATGTAATTTTTTTTGTTTTGTTTTTACAACAGTTCAAAAAACAAGAAGTTAATTAAAAGACTTACGTTTTATACACCACATGGCCTGTTTTTGCTCTATATTGACAACAAATAATTCCAAACACAGTCACAATGCTGCTTTGTGTCTCTGTTTTGTGTCTTTCCTTCCTGAATGAATCAACCATTGAAAATGATTTGGTTCAATCACAATGACTTGCTGCCACCTACTGGCAGTTTTAATTTCACATTTAAAATTGCTTTTTATTATTTAAATAATTTCAAATAACAGCATTCAACGTTTTATGTTTAATATATCAAAACATTATTTATGCATTTGTAATTGCAGGTTATAAATGCATTCATGTTCTGCAATAAACAGTAGTGTGTAAATACATCTAAATGCCACTTCAGATGCAGCTTCTATGTTTCCTCTGCATTGCAACTATGAATTTTCTTGATACTGATTTCATTTGCTTGGTTACAGTCCAAATGACTTATTATTCTAATTCACTAATTAAATGTAGGAATTTTACTCAAAAGATAAAGCACACTTTTATAAAAATGGTTTTACAAAAGTAAAAATGCATAATAGGTAAAAATCCATTTAAACTTATTGGAAAATATTAATTTCTTATCTGTGTGAACGGACCACCACACAGAATATCAAGAATATCAAAAGCTTTCTTCTAATTATCGTTATCGATAAAATCCCAGAAAATATTGAGATATAATTTTTTTTGTCAATATCACCCCTAGTGCCTACTCTGATTATTTTCATTGTATATTTAGAATAAAATAATAAATTAATAATAAAATAAATATTTAAAAACACAACCCTGTTTTTTGTTAAATTATGGTTTTTAATGGACTATAATAATAGCTTTTATAAAAGTATAAGATGTTTGATCAGTCTGAAAAAAAACAAGCAAGCAATTCAGTCAAAAGTACAAAAGTACAGTTAAAAACAAAAACTTTACCCTCAGCCTAAATTATTTGGGAACAAATAATAGATTTATGATTCCAAGATATACCCAAAACAAAACGGAGCCAGTGGCAAATGTCAGGACTTTCAGAGGAAAGGCTGCTCTTGGCAGGGTACATGAGCACTGACCTCCTGATGATTGCCTGGATCTCTCATCTCCAAAAATCAGAGCAAATTGTCAAATAGGTACTTTCTTTACAAAATAGTTTAACAGCTACATTCTCACCTAAAAAAAAATCTGTAAATCTACATTTTGTAACACAACAATAGGAGTGTTTTGAAAATGATGTGGCTTTCCTTTAAGTGACTCGAACACCGAATGATAAAAATGGTGAGATCAGCACTGAAAATCTTTGTCATATTATATTATAAGAGCTATTTCAGCTTATAACAATGTCTTTGATTGCCCTGTGATTGATGACTAGAGCAGGTCTTGTTTTGTGCTTTAGCTGCTGGCTGCTGTAGCACTGTGTCTGATCCAAATGTCCAAGCGTCGCGTGTCCGCTCAGCTGAGAGATTCCAGCACCCTCAGTGATGTGTTGTTGGGAAGGCATTGTCTCCATTGTTTTTGCAATGTTACAGAATCCTTGCAGTCTGTGTAAAGGCAATTCAGAAAATTGTTTCTAAAAACATAATGAATGTTTGAAATGTACTGCTGAAAACATGTTGCAAAGACTGTTAACTATGTAGTAGCCTACTGAACTGTGGAGTTAGGTCGTTAAACAGTTTTTCACTATTTTTGTGTTCAGGCAGGCCTGAAATCGTGTCTCGACCGGAGCCCTGACATTATAATAACGAGAGCAAATTAGCATCAGTGGTTCGCCCACTCAATCACGAGTATCTGTCATTACCGTTAGTTACTACAGCCTACAGTTTGCTAGCTAGCTATGCTTTGGACATCACGTAAATGCATATTGCTAAATATGTAGGCCTATGGCTGTATAATTCCAATTAAGCTGATAGAGGGAGCATCCATTCAGGTTGTAGCGGTATTTGACAGTTGAGAGAGACTGCAGCTTTCCCGTGAGTGGCCAGCGGACACCCCCAGCATTTGAGAGCCAAGAATACTGCTTGTTTACAAGATTTTGATAACTTAATTTACTTTTCTTTTTTTTCAAATTTGGCTGGGTGGTTAATAACACATTTTTCTTTGTTGTGAGTGATAAACTCCGAACACATTTAATATTGCTTTATACAGACTTTAATTCTCTACAACACTGAGAGGATGTGTATCTTTGCAAAGTTCTGTCTTTGCATGAGTTGTGGTCAGTCGTTTGTGGTTTCATCAGAATTGGGCCTTGTTTACTCTGCTCTCGGATTTGTTGTGTTTTCACAGATTTTTTTGATTTTGGCATATTTTGTCGATCTCCTTGGTGCTGCCTTTACTGTGGAAGCCGAAATGAGTCCATTTCAGTTCTGTACGCTGTGGGGGCCAGTATCTATAGGACAAACTCTTTTGTCCTCCATAATGACAGTGTTATTAGTTAGCTAGTAATGCTATAAATCATGGTGCACTATCATCGTTTATTTTATTAATACATTGAAGACTATTTAATGTTTTGCATTTGATTACTTTTAGTTTCTGTAAAAATTCTGCTGGACAGACCTTCCTGAAAAGTATTGTTAACTTTATTTGTGTCTTTGTTCCGTTTTATTTATTTGTCCTATTGTGGTTATTAGTTTCTTCGTTCTTTTATTACCGACTGTTTACTTGTCCTTTAATAAGGGTTTTCTTACATTACAGGCTAGTATTAGTTTTTTGCTGTGATCTCCAGATTTGTGTCAAGGTATCTATAAACTTGGCATCTTAACAACCTTGATTCAAGCATAAAAATGTTGGTTACTAGCCCAAGGGTATCTTTCCCCTGTTCTAGATTTTCTTCTCCGGTCATGCTTTTCTCATATTCTGTGTCATGTGAGTGATGTCAGGCTTATCGGGAGTGTGTTATTAAATGGGTCTTTCTTTCACTTTAGTTTTAATATGTTTGTACTGTTCAGAGTAAAGTTGCAAGACAATTTTCATTACTGATTATTGTCAGTTATTGTCAATATGACGAAATTAGTTGGATATGCATATGTGCTTCATGACAAAACATCTGTCATTAATCGAGAACTTTACTATACTAGTCGCATATGTTTTTGGGCCACAAAACTAAAGTAATTTTGTTTGTGAATTGGACTAAGCTAGTTTTGCTGTGTTTGTTTGTTTTTGTGTGCAGTCCACATGAACTCGAGACATGTTCTCTTAGTATTATTAACAAGCTGCAAGCTTATAAATTATTATTATTGTCGGGGCTAATGCCGGTGGAAATGAGATTCAAAACAGTTTTTGATCATCGTATCACTGAAACCTTGTACAGGTGCAGTCAAATATAAATGTGCCCACATGATGTTTGTAGTGGAATAGCTGTCCTGTCCTGACTGAAGCGCAGCATGCTCTCCACCCACTCACTTAACATGGGATGTTTTGCTGTGTTGTACCAAAAACGCAGATTATGATTGAAATTGCAGTTGCTCTTTCTATCCTTTTCTTTTATGCTCTTTCCCATTTGTTCCTAAACTACATAATATTTTACTGAAAAAGTTTAGCATAGTGATATAGGCTACAAAGAGAGGTGTGTGTGTGTGTAAGGGTGTTCTTTTTGTGGGGAAAGAGTAAAATAAATCAAGACACTAATAATAAAATGGGTGAGGGAAATTATAAAATAACTGTAACATTCATAAGGTTTTTAGGGTATTTTCAATGTAGTAGCCATGCAAATAAAACATGGTTTACTCTGTCATAACTTGTTGTGACTGTATACAGGTAGTGAAAAGCCATGTAGTGTCTGAATCATGTGTGACCCTGGAGCACAAAAGCAGTGATAAGTCGCTGGGGCATATTTGTAGCAATAGCCAACAATATTGTATGGGTCAAAATTATCGATTTTTCTTTTATGCCAAAAATCATTAGGATATTAAGTAAAGATCATGTTCCATGAAGATATTTAGTAAATTTCCTACTGTAAATATATCAAAACTTAATTTTTGATTAGTAATATGCATGGCTAAGAACGTAATTCGGACAACTTTAAAGATGATTTTCTCAAGATTTTTTTTTTTGCACCCTCAGATTCCAGATTTTCAAATAGTTGTATCACGGCCAAATATTGTCCTAACTTAACAAACCATACATCAATGGAAAGCTTATTTATTCAGCTTTCAGACCCTTGTGACTGGTTTTGTGGTCCAGGGTCACATATTTGTTCTTTTTATTACTTAACAAAGATAAGAAATATCACTTCAAAAAGCCGACGTTAGATGCCATGATGTGTAACTAAAATTGAGGCCATTGTGTCAGATTTCTTAGTGAATGAGTGTGATTAAGTGTGAGGTGTGTCTCTTCAAGAGAATGCAAGTTGTGGAAACACTCCTTTATGAACTGAAGGACATCGCTTCCTGTGTAAGGTGACTGCAGGCCCTGCCCATGAAAGGTTAAGCGCTCTTTGATGGCTCTGAGTGAGCCTCGCACAGAATGCTCCAGCCTGCTCTCTTTCCACAGAGGGAACAACAGAGAGCTGGGAATCTTTTAACATTTCACTCAGAACATGTAAAAAGCTGAAGCCTGCTGTGTTTATTGTAGTTTTTGAGTGTGCGTGTGCATACATGTTGGGTTTCTCTTTCTTTCTCTCTCCCTTTTTTTTTTTTTTTTTTTAAGCGTGTTGTGTCTGATGCAAACAGGAACATTTAGAGCTGGGATCCATTCCAAAGCCTCTGGGTGTGTCAGACAAAGTTGAATGTTTTCAGCTGTGCCTCCTTCAGTATTTATTTTCCTCATTCTGTCCTGTGGAAAGTCAAACCTTTGCAAAGGCTAATGAGTGCTCCATATCACAGTCATCCTCCACATCCTCACCTCAGAGGAGTTTATGGGAATTTAAGACATTTTGCTCATTACTGGATTGCTACTGACACACGTTTCTGGATTTGTGGATCAAACAAATGACGACCTTCAGGTAATTACTCTTTCCAAACATCAGTGTCTCCGAGTTTATTGCCCGGTGCGTTCCTCTAAAGCTTTGCTCCTTTGTGGTTGCTGCTGTAGTAATGCTGTTTCTCTGGATATGTGTCAGTTCAGTAGAAAAGAACAGAAAAATGTATTTATTATTTATTTTATTGAAGTTGGAAAATGGAAAATGGATTGACCTTGTGTAAGGAGAGCTGAAAGGCAAAAGCTGACTACAAATATTATAATAATGTTTCACTTTTTTATGGCGAAGTCAATATGCTATTTGAGAGAAGCAGTTAAGCATCGTGTGCCTGTGGGAATGTTTTCCTGTGAATGTTTTTGTGAAGAACCCATTTACTGAAATATTTTGACTGATATGAATGTTTTGACGGCTACCTATATTTTTATAGCTATTATGAAGCTATAAAAAATCTAACAAACAGATTAATACTTTAGATATCATCTTATTCTATGTCATTACTATTTTTCCACAAGTAAAGAAATAAGCTTACTTATAAACAAAGTAATTATACTATAACCAACAGGGCACTCATTATTCCAGTCTCTGCATACTAGGAATCATATTTTTTAAAGCCTGGGACACACTGCTTAATTTTTGGCTGTCCCAGACTAGGGTTAGGTATCGTTTGAATTTGATCAATTCCGATTCTGCTTATCAATTCTAATTCTTTTCGATTCCCAGTTTCGATTCCAATGTGATTAAATAATGATATCAAATAGGCCTGGGCCATAAAACGGTATCGATATTTATCGATGGTACACCTTCTTCGATTAACGATATTAAAAATGTTCGATATAGGCACGTGCTATGAGTGACGCAGACAGCACACAAACACGAACACATGTGAAATGAGTGCTGTGCCTGCCTGCGATGAGGAGATTGTGAATACAAAAATGAATATTAGTCTAATTTAAAAAACATTTGCATTTTAATGTTACAAGTGCACCAGGGAGTGTCATCAGTGGAGCACGAGATGTGGTGAGTAATGTTAGTGACGTTGTTGTATTTTAATGTTTTGTTATTCTAGCCCACAAGACGTGCCGCTGCTGTGTTATTCATTCAAAATATTAGAGAAATGGAGAAGCTCAATGCGTAGAAGATCTTGATTAGGTGAAAACCGAAACCAAGCCATTCACACAGCGCATTTTAGACGGAGAAATATGACTGCTGCACTCGCGTCTCACACAAGAGCTTTAGCCATGCAAAGTTAAAACAATTTAAACGTGTAGAAAACATGTCGCAAATTTGTGGAGGTTTATTCCCTTTCACTGCGTTTCTTATGTTTTTAAATGCAATCTGTGTGATCGGTGCTTCGGCTCTTTGTATTAAGCAATGCATAAATACATGATGCTGTTTTGTTCATAATTGTTTGTGCAATTTACGAAATTATATTTGATTTATGAGTTAATTTAAGCATAATGCATGGTTTTTTTATAGACATTTATTTCCTTGCATTGACAATTTTATGCACTGCATTATTTTGCTCATTGCGCCCTCCTGTGGCCTCGGGAGACAAGCCAAAAGTTTCATTAAGACCTATTTAATCTGCATATAAAACATTAGAAATGAGATATTTGTTTAATTTTTATTGTGTGTTTGACTGTTAAAACAAAAAATATTTGTTGTTTGTCTCAATAAATTGGGTTAATTTAAAAATACATGGTTAAATTAAGAAAACAATTCTATTACTCTTTGTTTTAAAAAAAAAATGCAATAATTATCGATACCGAACGATATGAAATATTATATCGTTGATACATTTCTTATCTATATCGCCCAGCCCTAATTAGTGGTTAAACGAATTGTAGTTGATCCATGATCCGTACGGACCAAGCCCCACGGTTCGGCACGCATATGATCCGCGGATTAATTGCTAAATTTAACCATAATAGAGTATAAGTTTATCATTTGTTCGTATTTACACAAGCAAGCGAATTGTAAACAATTCCAGAGAGAAAAGCGAAAGGGAACTCGATTTGTTACTCGCGCGCTGTTCTCTATGTGCACACGCGTTTCAGACGGCGCGCAAACACCGAACTGAATCCTCTGAACAGACACACACATAAAATTATGACAAAATACCCATCTTGACAATCATTCAGGTAAACGCAGTCAGTTATGTCTCGAGTGAATGAAAACGGCTAAGAAAGAAATCGGATGTGAGGTGTAACATTATATCGGATCCGTGCATCAGGTCATAAAGGGACAGCGGCCTATAAATACTGATGTTGTCATTTAATGATCATCAAACAACAAAACAGCTGTGATAAAAATCTATATTTAATTTATACAGTGAACACTATGTAGTGTTATTTTCCCTAATAATTACATTTCTGTATTTGAATACTACCAACCTTATTTTATTTGTAACATTCTGTTGTATTTATCTGTTATATTTGTTATTTTTACTGGCTGTTCTCGTCTCTTTAATGTTTAATCTTTCTTAGTTAATCTAGTATCATTTGCTGTGGTATCAAAGAAGTACTTCACTTTAAGTAATAAATGGAAAGCAAGCTAAATTGAACTATTTTTCTTTTCTTGCTGATCCGATCCGTGGGTCAAAACCGTAATGTGATCCGAACCGTGAGATTTGTGATCCGTTGAACTACTAGCCCTAATATCAAACATTTATCCTGTGTCTCTTTTTTGCAAACCATTTATTGGAGCTGAAAACAGGCTACATAAAAACTCTTTAAGAGCTGTTTGTGTGCAAAACAGAACTGCATGATTCTTCGTTTACCACTAGCACATCTGATGACGTTTTATTTTTCAATAGTAACTTGAGTTGTAGCCTACGAGTCAATAGATGTCATCTTCGCACAGTCTACAGCAGGTTTATTAGATCCATGTCGCAGTGTGATTTGTAATGATCTTATATAATTTCTAAAATCATGCAGACTGTAGAAGGCTTAAAAGTCCAGGTAACACAGGTCCTGAATATAGTGCAGCATTGTTTAAAATTAAGGATTTAAAGTTTGTCACTTGTGTGTGTCCAGTAACAGCAGAACTTTCTTGTTTGCATCCAACTGAGCTTACAACAGAGGTTACTTAACCACAGCCACTGCTTTTCAAGGGCTGGCTCTCTATCTGTGGTCCTCAAACAAAAGGATGTTGCGATTTACACGGCTTCCTGGCCTACCATGATTATTTTGGAATACATGACTAGAGGTTGACCGATGTATCGGCACCGATAGTTGATTGCTGGAACTATCGGATATCAACAAAAATCCATGCCGATAGTTTTCCGGGTTGCGTCCATGCTTGAGAAAGGTCTGCTGTCATTACACAGTGCGAGAGCGGCCTCTAGTGGTTGAAATCACTGACAGCACGTGGTATTTGTTTAGACACGTGACACTGCACGCTGAACAGAGCGGGAAACTTCAGACGCGGATTTAAATGCAGCCAACAGAAAATCCTACCCCGCCACAGAGCGCCATTCACATAGTTTCTCTTTAAATTACATTATATTGGTCCCGAATCGTTGTTAATGTACATAATGAATTGTGTATTGTGCATTTTCAGCAAAACGTTTGTCTTTCTGTGGCTCTAGTAAAGTCTGTGAGCTTCAATTATAGAGCTATAATATAGGTCGCGCTTTTTCTTTCCGTTTGCTCCGTTTTTTAAACACAAACTTCAAATTCATCTATACCAAATTGTTCATTCTTGAAGTAAACTTGTGTCCGTTTGTTGATTTAAATAAACTGTTTTAGACCGCTGCTCGAGTTGAACCCGACGCGTCCGGCGTGTGTGTGATACCGATGAGTTCTCCTAGACTCAGCTCTGCGCTTTTATTTTGATTAGATAACCATCAAGTGTTCAAGAATAGAAGCAGTTCAAGTCTGAGAGTATACATACAATATCCATATGTATATCATTTTAATGCTATATAGCCCAGTGGTTATCAACCTTTCTTTCCACTGGGCCGCACTATGGTTTCAAGTGCAGTCGCGCGCGCCTAAATATTATGATATCTAATCGATTACATTCATTTAAATAAATAATTATACTCACCATTAATAAAACACCTGGTGCTGTCGGGAGCTGACCAATTTTGTGAAATTCGGCTCGAAAGGAGTATCAGCATCTCCTATTTTTATATTTTAGACATCCATCAATTAGTGATGAAAAAAATAATAATTTGCTGCGCTGGTGGAAACAACACGAGACCGTGAGACCGCCCAGCAAGCAATAGCCGTCATTTCAACGTCTCGGTTAAGTGTAGACCCGATATAGTCCGGCTATGTGTAACCCACTTCTAGCCCAAATAACCTTGAATTTGGTTTCATGTCGTTTTTTGGCAAAATAACTTGTGAGATTTATGATATTCCAACATGTAAGCAAAGTAACAGCGTTCACAAGGTGTTTGGTTTCATTTCTTTGACATGTTCAATATGTAGCCTGTGCGTAGCCACGATTTAGCTCGTAGTCAGAGCGGCTACCTGTAGCCCACTGATAGTCAAACCTGAATCACTGTAGTGTTTGGCCAGACAGCGCATGAGATGGTTGATATCCCATCATGTTCGCAGTGTCAATAATATCTACAAAGCATTCATTCTTTTGTATTTTTATCATTTTGTATTGTCTTAAGTTGTCTCAAATTTTATTTTTCTTAATAAAAGCTGTATGTATTGATTGCCATTTTGTTGTCTATTAGACGTATAAATGTAGTCGTTTAATAGCCGTCTAATTGATGACTAGTATATTCTTGGGCTATGATTAGACGTCTATTAGATTTTCACTGACAGCCCAAATTTAGCCTCGTTTTAGCCTAGACGTCTAGGCTATATTTAGACGTAAACTAGACGTCTTTTAAACGCAAAATTGCTTGCTGGGCGTCGACGGTGTTTAGTGTCCAGCAGCAGCAGAGCGAGCGTGCCGTCAGCGCAGCTGAACCGTTCTGCGTTCAAATGCACACAATAGGCTTAAGCTTGCCGCAAAGCACCGGCAAAATTAATTACCATGAATGTGTCAGGGGGAAATAATAA